TGATGCTCACTGTAACATTTTCCAGGGCACCTAGAGGAAAAGAAATGAATAGATTTTTAGAAGTTCTGTTCTTGTATTTATTTTTTACATGAAGTTTTTTCAGGACACAAATAACTGCATTAATATTTTGGGAAGTTAGTTTTATTGCACATTAAAGACAAGCTGGTGGGTAGTGGGGATTAAGAGAAACAAATCCCTGAAACGTAGAGTTGACAGGATGGGACGGTACTCCCTCTTTGCCCACGACCTCTAAGTCACTGTGTTGGGGTACAAGACCTTTTGAGAGTCACTGGTGCAGAACGCTAGTGCTCAGAAGCAGAGGTGGGAGGCCGAGGGCAGAGTGGGCCTCTCAGCAGCCACCAGATCAATACAAGTCTTCAGGCTTCACAGCATCTTCCTCCCTGACACTTTTCTCAAAGCTATGCTGCAGCTTATGTCTAGGCAGGAAGGAAAAACCAAAATGTCACCACTGTGAGCCCAATGGAACCCCACAGGGAACAAAAAGAACCTGCCTCCTAATTAGACTGCAGCCTCAGAAGGAGGCCCAGCTCCGCACACAGACAGCAGCTGAGGGGTGTGAGGTAGAGAAGCCCGGCCCCGAGGCTGTGTAACCCCAGGCTGTCACTGAGTTGCCCACTCCACAGCCTCCAACACCTTCCCTCTAAGGACCCAGGGCACTTAGAGCAACCTGTGTCTTGGAATGAAGCCACCGTCCCCGAAGTGGGTTCATGATAGATTAATCCAATTCACCATTCTTAAATGGCCTACTTGCAACACCACTGAAGGGCTAGCAGGAGGGAGGCAAGGGAAGGACTGACTACAGATAATTTTTATGGAAAGTCTTGCAAAGATCCAGGTTTCCATAGTAGATAGTATCCACTGAAATGAGCATTAGATTGTTTTCACTGGGGGCAACTAACTCTTCCAATTGAAACTATTATTATTTTATAACCAAAGTATATTTTTATACTGTGACTTGCACCATTAAGTGAGAAACAACAGCGTGAGCAATTCCTCGTGCCAACTCAAAATACCTCTGCGTGCAAACACTTCGGCATTTAGACCACAGCACCCCCGAAGAAAGAAATTGTAGGAGGCCTCAGCACATTCCCTAGATAGTTCTGTCATCGATTCAAAAAGCACCCCCAACGCCCCGCAGCCCCCAGCGTCCTACAGAGCAAACGCCCTTACCTTTCTGCCAACACACACGACTTGGCTGTCCTTCTCTTCCATTGCCTGATTCTCTCAAATCCAACTCCTGTGCTCCAGGTTCTAAAGTGAAACTATCTTGGCTAAAGTAAAGTTGCTTAGGCGGTAACAATCCCCTCCACCCCACCTCCTTGCTTTTTTATTTTTTTGGACATCAAGGCCAAGAGAAGCAAAGGGACTACTTTACATTTGCATAGAGCTTTCTGATTTGCAAGCCACCCACACATCGATGATCTCATCCAGCCTCCTAACAACCCAGTGAGGTAAGCCTACTCCCCCTACTCTCAAATAAGGTAGGGCTACCTGCTAGGACTGTTCCGGCCGTGTCACACAGTAAGCACACGAGTGCTAACTACTAGCCGTTAGACACAGCAAATATTATTTAACTCATTTTATTAGTGAGAAGCTGAGACTCAGAGGTTGGACAGCTGATTCCAGGCCTCTAGGAATCTGAAGCAAGCTGGGAAGACAGAAAGCCTAGTGCAGGACTCTTTCCACCACATCAGTACAGACCCTAACGGTTTAAAACTTGACAACTACACATTTCCACGGCGGCTTAGCCACGCTGATAAGAAGGGAGCCCGAAGTCCTGATTCTGTTCCCAGTTCTCTGCTAGCCACGTGCTCTTGAGTTTTAGTTCTCTGGACCTTTGTGTTGGCTTCTCCATAATGAAGGCAGACTCACTTTTTTTAAAAAAAACAACAAACAATGGAATGTCAAGCTTCCAGATGAAAGGCTCTGTTACAAGTACAAAGTATCATTTAATTACACTGCTGCTCCAGTTAGCTGCTTCCCAGCTCCTAACTCCCACTGGGTGGATTCTGAAACCGCATAGGAGATTATGTCAAGAGGGGAGAACAGGAGAAACATTCTCTCCCTGAACTTTCTTAAATGGAAGAGAGGAACAAAATGAAAGGCCCATTTTCCAAGGAGGGGGCTGGGGCAGTGATCTTTCCATTAAGTGGACCTGCATAAGAATCTATAGATTATTTAACGCCGGGGGTGGCTGTGGAATGAAATAAAGGAATCTTTGTGCAACGCCAGCCACAGTTCCCTCACTCTCTCCCCACCGTCAGGCATTTAACACAACTCTTTAATCATCAAGCTCTAATGCACCCCATCTGTGCACGGGTTGTAGCCAATGAAACTGCAGCCTGTGCTGACTTTGGCCTGGACTTGTGAAGGAGCCTTTCTGCCCCAAAAGGGGCAGAAAGGAGGACATGAGGCCAACAGTCTTCTTTGCTCATCACTTGTCTTCTCCCAAGCCTCAAGAGCCATCCATCTGTTTATCTGACCATTTATTGAGCTCTTGCTATCGGTCAGATTCTGACCCAGAGATACAAAGCTAATAGGACATGGCCCCAGGAGGAAAAGGATGTGTAAGAGCTCCTGTGAGAGAGGAAGGAGGTAAAGAAAAACGGATGCTTTTGGCTGAAGCACAGAGGCCCGAAACACCCCTATCTGCATATTCAGGGAAATGTTGCTTAGTTCCAAGTGGTTGGAACATACAGCAAGGAAGCAGCAGGGACCCTAACTCAAAAGCTAGGCTCTGCCAGATCATCCAAGGCCCTGTGTACCAAGCCAAAGAGGTAAGACATCAACTCTGAAGGCCATTGTCATCCCCACATACTCCCTTCTGACCACTTCACAAGGCCCAACTCAAATACCACCTCTTCTAGAAATTTTTCTTGAACACGCTCAAAGTAATTGCTCTCCCTTCTTTGAGAACTCAAGACCTGAGTTCTTAGACAACTTGTATGAGTCTCAGCTTCTCCATCCATATAATATATGACTAACATCACCTACCTTAAGGCCTTCTTATGAGGGTTAAGTGAGATAATATTTATAAAGTGTTAAGTAGCAGTTTTTAGTACAGAGAAGGTGCTCAAATACAGTTTATGGTTACCTCCACTTCTTCCGATACACAGTACTTTTTTTTTTCTTTTAATAAATTTATTTATTTATTTTTGGCTGCATTGGGTCTTCGTTGCTGCGTGCGGGCTTTCTCTCTAGTTGCGGCGAGCGGGGGCTACTCTTCATTGCAGTGCACGGGCTTCTCATTGTGGTGGCTTCTCTTGTTGTGGAGCACGGGCTCTAGATGTGTGGGCTTCAGTAGTTGAGGCTCGCGGGCTCTAGAGTGCAGGCTCAGCAGTTGTGGCTCAAGGGCTTAGTTGCTCCGTGGCATGTGGGATCTTCCCGGACCGGGGCTCGAACCCGTGTCCCCTGCATTGGCAGGCGGATTCTTAACCACTGCGCCACCAGGGAAGTCCCCACAGTACTTCTGGGTATTAAAAAGATGTCTTGGCTTCTACTCCTCTGGAGATTTCCAGAAGTAGGACAACTCATATTTTCCCTCCAAGCTTCCAAAGTGAAGAGGACTGACTCCCCTCTCCTCTCACTGACATAGCCTCCCCACATCCAGGCTCCAGGGGTTCCCCAAAGGTCCAAGAGGAATCTGAGACAAGATGAGTTAGCTGACAGAGAAGGAAGCTATAGGCTGGCTGGAACACAAATAGCATAGAGGACAGTAATTAGCAGAAACCTAGAGAAGGGAAAGTGGGCCAGAGACCAGGACTCTGAGGGCTGCAGGGTTCAAGCCTTTTGGTAACCCTAGACCCTAGAAGAGGCCTAGAAGGAGGAGTTCTTCCATCTGCAGTCCTGATTTGAGAATCCCCAGTAACAGACGTGGTTGTTCAAGCAGCTTCTCCACTTCCTGTCAGATCAGCCAGCTGGACAGGGCTGCTCTGTAACTGCTGATCCTTCCTCCGGCTCTGCCCGGGGCTACCGAGCCAGAGGCAGGGAAAGTGATGCCACCTTTTCTAGCAGTTCTTGTAAACAGATCAAGAACACTAAATTTTTTTTTTTTTTAAACTTTGAGTCCGCATGAATTTTTCTTTTTTCTTTTTTTTTTTACTTTAATGGCATGAAGTCCAGGTTCTGAAGAAGAATGCTTTTTAAAGCGAAAAGTCCCCCATGAGCTCTTTCTCCTTTTCCTGCAGCCTCTAGTAAAGCTGTTTCTCCTCCCTTGGCAAGGAGCTTGGGGCCAGGAGGGAGCAGCTCCCCTCTGAACGCTGCCTGAAGGAGCCAGTGTCTGGACTGCTCAACGGGACCTTAGGTTTATTTATTTGTTAATAATCCCCCCACCCCAACTTCAGGAAGCAGGTGCCAAGGCTCCTCAGGGAAAATGGGGTTCCACTCTTTCTTCTGATTGTGACCAAACGTCATGCCATTTCACCTCACGTAGAAGCCCGAAAGGTCCCGACAAGCCAGTGGGTCAGCTCTTCACCAAGCCACTTTTGGTCCTCCAAAGGCCACCCGTTTTAGTAACTAAATCATCTGGTAACCTTCCCTAGGGGCTTAAAAAGCAATATTCCCCTCTCTCATTTCAGCCATTAACCTCTCCTACAAGAGACCACCTTTCTCAGAATTCCTTTCTAGGCAGGCAGCACCCTACATCGCATGCATCTGCCAACACAGCCCAGGCAAGCAGAGCGCAAGGCTCCAATCCCTTTAGCCCCTCTCCCCTCCGGCTTGCGAGCCCCCAGCCCCCACAGACTCAACAGGGATGACATTTACTTTCCAAAGTTACAGATTAAACGAGTACACTCTCCCCCTAACTCTGAGTTATTTCTCAGCTGAGTGAGACAGCCATTTGGGTGAGCCCTCCCTGGACAAAAGAAGGAATACAAATGTTCCGGGCCCTTTGGCAGAGCTCATAAACGTCTGCAAACCTAGGAGCCAGAAGTGCCCTCCCCCAAGGTAGGCAAGGAAGGCCTGCAGGGAACATGTACCTTGGAAATAAGTTCATCATGATTGGCCAAGTGGGCTCTGCAGTGAATGCAGCTGTAGGTCCGGTGGCAAGAGGGCAGATATGCCTGGAAAGTCTTGGATCTTGTCATCTTCACCATTGGCGCTGCTGAGTGTGGGGTGAACTCTGGGGCGGCCCACGAGGCACTCCCACAGGATGGGTCGCACGGGAAACACCGGAAGACACAGGTAAAGGCCGTGGTTTGGCAGGGGGTGGGTGTGGGGCAGGCTCCACACACTGGTGATGTCTTCAGAGGAAGGACCCTCAAGCAGAGGTCTAGGGCTGGTTCTCAGCAGCCTGCAGTGCCAAGATAAGGAATATCATTAGCTGATGGGGCTGGGCTTCCTGCAAAGCCAGTACAGTAGAGTCCAACTGCCACCCGAGAGAGGGCAACATTTACAGGATAAAATGACCCCCCTCCTCTGTTCTTACACTGTGCCAAGATGCCCCATGAATAAGAAAGAAACCAATGGAGATCCCAACATTGCTGCAATTCTAGAGTCGGAGGTTCAGTATCAACTCAGGGCTCTCAGGAGTTACCCTACCAACATCTAGGAAACCGGCATGATCACCATTCCTAGGGAGCCCTAGAAAAGGCCAGGCTTAAAGATATGCTACCTCCAACCCCAGGGAGAGGACTCCTAAGGACTCCTAAGGATCTCCTGATCCAACCAAGATAAATGGCTTAGAAAGTTTAGTCTCTAGAGATTTGCTACATCAACTGTCACAAGTGGATTTCTCATCCATTTCCAGATGCCAGGAGTCCTCCAGCACTTGCAACCACCATCTGAAGAGGCAACAAACCCCACACCACCTTTTGCTTATGAACTAAGCATGGGATACAAAGGATCAAGTTCCCAACCAGCAGGATCCCTCGCGGCTAGCCAGTACTTCTAGGAGAAGTGATTCTGTTTGTAATACCTTGACCAGAAGTAGATGCTCAGCACATTTTTTTTTTTTTTGCGGTATGTGGGCCCCTCACTGTTGTGGCCTCTCCCATTGTGGAGCACAGGCTCCAGACGAGCAGGCTCAGCGGCCATGGCTCACGGGCCCAGCCGCTCCACGGCATGTGGGATCTTACCAGACCGGGGCACGAAACCGTATCCCCTGCATCGGCAGGCGGACTCTCAACCACTGCGCCACCAGGGAAGCCCAGCACATTTTTTTAAAGCAAGTAAATTAATGAAACTAATGGCATAATCAGGATCCTGCATCTAAAATTCACAACGACAGTGAATCTGACCAGAATTTCTCTTCAACTCTCAAATTTTCCATTACTCATCCCAAGCATTTTTCCTTCCATAGCCTCAGCTTTTTTATTCTAATGGGAAAGAAGGACACTGAGATAGAGGGGTGGCTCCTAGGGCCACCTAGGGTATGTCCAAGTAAAGGTCTGAGGGCAAAACCCCAAGGTCTGAGATCCACTCCGTTTCTCTGTGGCTCACATACCTGAGGCTTCTGGACCTACCTATTCCCTGGGCTTCACTAACGGGGGTGGTGTTCTCACTTGCCTACCTCCCAGGAGAGCCAGAGTGTTAATTAACGCCTGCGTCACACTTTGAAGATAAAATTATTTAGAGAGACAGGGGAGGAAGACAAACAAAATCAGATCTTCCTTGCTGGATTATGCCTGGGATCCATCTGGATGTTTGGAGAAAGCCCACAAATCATAGTCCTTTTTTTTCCTCTGAACCTCACTGGAACCGAATCTTCAGCAGGGAAGCTGCCCTCTTCCCCGACATCCTTCCCACCATAATGTCACTGAAGGCCACTATACCCCTGGGCCGCCACAGAGCTTCCTGAGTGGCCAACACCACTGGCCAGCACTAGGCTGAAGGACAGCTATGGTCACTATCCTTTACCCTGCATGTCCCTTGAGGAACTGAGCCAAGCAAGCTCCACATCCAGGGTGACCAATTACACAAGATGTCCAACTGTTGAAGGGATTCAGACCTACAGGGGCCCAGGCATAATGTCTCCCCTGCTCGGTCTCCCACCGCTAATTTTAAAGATGAGTAATCAGATTAAACTGAACATCACAGAAATACTTCAAGAATGTGGGGGTGAGAATTAACCTCCCCAGCTTTGCCTCGGAGGTAGGCCTGGCCATAACAAGAGATAACGTGACCCCCTGGATCAGAACCCCTGCGTCTCACCCAGGCATAGTGGAAGTGGAAGGTGAGTGGTCAAAACGAAAGCCCATGGCGGACCAATGTTGTTGGGTGTTGAAGTGGAAGAGGTGGTAGAAAGGGCTAAATACTCCACTTGGGGTTTCCTGAAATATCCTTGAACCTTCCAATACTCCTGTTCCACTCTCAGGAAGGACAGTATTTCCAGGAAAGGAAGGGATGATAGGTCAGGGGGTAAGGAACAGGAAAGACGGAGGCAGGGGAAACGAGCGGGAGGCTTGCCCCAGGCCAGCCACTTCTGAAGTCCACAGCCTCAGCTGCCCGGTGGGGAGCTGGAGGGGCACTGGCCCCATTCGCCTTATACAAACGCTGAAGGAAGGAAAGGAAACAATGAGCCCTGGCTGCCAGTCTGGGTTTATAGAGCAGCCACAGGGTCTGTTTTCTTACACATGCTGACGGCTTCTAAATTATGCCTTTCCCCAGAGTAGAATTATTTCTTTTCTCACTTCTCTTCTGTAGGAAACCCAAAAAAAGTTCACCGGCAGGGGTTTCTGCCGGTTTATGCTCAGGTTCAAATGTGAATCTCAAAACTTATTCATAGCTACCTTTGGAGAAATCAGCATTCATAGTCTGCATTAAATGTGAGTATGTCACATACAAACACATTCATTGCACACCACAGCTCAGAACTTAAAAAGAGACCATGCAAGCAACATCGCAGGCTGCCTGGTGTTGGAAAAGCCCCAGAGAGCCTAGGCTGCAGGCCTTGGACTTTGCCCTATGGTCATTCTGGTCCTCTCACTCTTTGCTAGGGATTGACAGGCACCCACAAAAGTGACTCCTTACCCAAGAAGGAAGAAAAGAAAAAGTGGCTTGCTGAAATATGAATCTTGTCCCACTGGTACAGGGCAATCAAGAAGGAATGAGAGGGCTTCCCTGGTGGCACAGTGGTTGAGAGTCCGCCTGCCGATGCAGGGGACACAGGTTCGTGCCCCAGTCCGGGAGGATCCCGCGTGCCGCGGAGAGGCTGGGCCCGTGAGCCATGGCCGCTGAGCCTGCGCGTCCGGAGCCTGTGCTCCGCAACGTGAGGGGCCACAACAGTGAGAGGCCCTCGTACCGCAAAAAAAAAAAAAAAAAAAAAAAAAAGAAGGAATGAGAGAGGGAAAGTGGAAAGCAAAGTGAAGGAGGATCAAGAGGGGGTCCTCGTGCCTGAGAATAAAGGAGAGAACGGACTGAGAAAAAACGTGAGAGCTAGGGGCCGAAAAATAATCACCTATTACTGTCTTCTTCCCTCTTAAGGGAAAATATTAAAAGCTGCTTTAAAAAGAAGTCTGTTTTTTAAAAGGAAGTAAAAAAGAAGTCAGTTTTTAGGAAGGAAGATGAAACAGATGTTTGTTTGGTTTTTTTTTATGGAAGCAATTAAGGGTATGGGGCTATAGAACTCACCACATTTTAATTTTTGCACTCTGGTACCTGTTAATGGGGCCACAGGCTCCATGGGGCTTCATGAGTCCAACCCGCTGAATATATTGTGGAGTCTAAACTGATTTCCAACAATAATCAAATGAGCTCGCTTTTTTAAAGCCTCAGGGCACGTGTACAAATTAAACACCATTTTAAATGAAGTAATAATCCATCACAGTGGAAATTAAAGGAAGATTTGCTACCACCTCCAGCTGGCTCCCGCTGGGCAGCATGGAAAGCAAAGATGTGAACTATTATGATTAAAAACAAAGACCTTAGGTACACCACTCTGAGAGCCAAACGCATAGGGAGCGCACAGCAAACCTGGCCGTCCCACCTCACGGACTGGCCTTTTCCACAAGGAGCCACAATTGCAGGTGGAACTCAAAACAGAACCTTCTGAGTGTCCCCAGGATGGAGGGGTAGGAGGTACGAATTCCTCAGATAAGTCAGGAAGGAACTGGAAAAATGATGTGGGAACAAGATTGTACCGCCACACACAGAGCCACAGAAACCGAGAAGGCAGAACTTGCCAGGGGAAGTGACACCTCCAGCCGCAGGACAGGACCACCCCTAGATGTGCCTCAGCGTTGCTGTTTTTGTGGGGTGTATTGGAGGAGGGTAGGTAAAGACTGTCTGGAAAAGAAGTGGCCTCTGGAATCAGAAGCCAGCTCTACTCCGTTCTAAATGAGTGACTTTGGCAAGTTATTCAACCACTCTGACCCTCAGCTTCCCCAATTCTAAGAAGACCAACATACACAGGGTTATGAGGATTAAATGAGATTGATGTAAGTACATACAGAGTGCTGGCACACAAAACACGCCAAAATTGTAGCTATTATTATTTTTAGTGGTTAATGAATTTTTTAAAATACATGTTGCTACTTAAAAAGAGAAGAAAAAGAAAAAGGAGGCCGAAGAGTTCAGAGACATACATGGTTTTCCTGCCACTTCCATTAGGACTCTCTAGCTTGCCTTCAAGCAAGGTAGATGGTACTACTGGGATGACGTTTCTCTAAACCTAGAATTCTCTTCTCAAGGTAAGACAAGGTGATGATGACACTGGAGGAACCATAGGAGTATCCCCCTAAGAGGTGGTTTCCCCAGTGGCCATGCTCCCAAAGGCCCTAAAAGCACTGCCAGGAACACAGCATCTCTGATTCACACAGCCCTGGCAGGCCCCTGAGCCTCCCTTCCCCCTTAAATCCACCCTCTGCATTTCAGCCAGTGTTATGCATTTAAAAAGCAGATCTCACAAACAATAAATGCTGGAGAGGGTGTGGAGAAAAGGGAAGCCTCATACACTGTTGGTGGGAATGTAAATTGATACCTCCACAGTATGGAGGTTCCTTAAAAAACTAAAAATCGAATTACCATATGACCCAGTAATCCCACTACTGGGCATATACCCTGAGAAAAACATAATTCAAAAAGAGTCATGTACCACAATGTTCACTGCAGCTCTATTTACAATAGCCAGGACATGGAAGCAACCTAAGTGTCCATCAACAGATGAATGGATAAAGAAGATGTGGTACATATATACCACAATGGATTATTACTCAGCCATAAAAAGAAATGAAATTGAGTTATTTGTAGTGAGGTGGATGCCCTAGAGTCTGTCATACAGAGTGAAGTAAGTCAGAAAGAGAAAAATACTGTAGGCTAACACATATATATGGAATCTAAAAAAAAAAAGAAAAAAAAATGGTTGTGAAGAACCTAGGGGCAGGACAGGAATAAAGACGCAGACTGCATAGCACCGGGAGATCAGCTTGGTGTTTTGTGACCACCTAGAGGGGTGGGATAGGGAGGGTGGGAGGGAGATGCAAGAGGGAGGAGTTAGGGGGGTATATGTATATGTATAGCTGATTCACTTTGTTATAAAGCAGAAACTAACACACCATTGTAAAGCAATTATACTCCAATAAAAACGTTAAAAAGAAAGAACTAAAGGAGGAGGAAAAAAAAAAAAAGCAGATCTCACCATGTCATCACTTTCATGTCCTTCAGAAAGGCAATACGGGACAGTGGGTAAGCAGATGGGTTCTGGATATTTAACTAAAGAAAACAAAAACACTAATTCAAAAAGATCTATGTACCTGTATGTTCATTGCAACACTATTTACAATAGCCAAGACATGGAAGCAATGTAAGTGTCCATCGATAGATGAATAGGAATGTGGTGTATGTGTATATATATATATATATATATATAAAATGGAATATTACTCAGCCACAGAAACAAATGAAATCTTGCCATCTGCAGCTACACGGTTGGACCTGGAGGGTATTGTGCAAGGTAAAATAAGTCAGAGAAAAACAAATACCATATGATTTCACTTACATGTCTAAAATACAAAGCAAATAAACCAACATAATAAAACAGAGTCATAGATACAGAGAACAAACTGGTGGTTGCCAGAGAGGAGAGGAGTGGGGGGACAAATGAAATAGGTGAGGTACAAACTTCCAGCTATAAAATAAATGTCATGAGGATGAAATGTACACATAGGGAATATAGTCAACAATACTGTAATTACTTTGTATGGTGACGGATGATGACGGATGGTAACAGGTCTTATTGTGGTGATCATTTCATAATGTATAAATGTATTGAATCACTATGTTGTACACAGAAAATTAATATAATATTGTACGTTAATTATAACTCAATTTTTAAAAAAAGACGGGTTCTGAAATCAGACTCCGAGGGTTTCAAATCTCAGTTCTAAAATTTTCTAGCCGTGTGACCTTGAACAACTTACTTAACCTCTCTGGACCTTGCTCTCCTCATCAAAACCTAGGAACACTAATATTGACATCATAAGGCTCTTGTGAGAATTAACTAAGCTAATACATATACAGTACTCAGCATATGCACCTGGCATGTAGTAAGCACACAATAAATTCCAAGTGCGTATTACTGCTGACAACCATTGACATCCATGAATGGCATCCATGAGAGACTCATCTCTCATACTCTGTATACTCCATTTATTTGGACTGATATTTAAGGGTCTATTGTGTGTCAGGAACAGTCTCCTAAGTGTTCAGATTTGCCAACCAAACTCTCTGTAGTTCCCCCGAATACACCACACCTGCATTTCACCCTTCCGTGGTTTTGTTGATGGCATTCCCTCCATCTGACATATCCTTCCCACCTCCTCACCAGGCCCTTACTTGTCCATTAAGACTCAGCTCAAATATCCCCTCAGCATTGGACTTATTGACCCATCCTCTGTGCTCACCTCCATCTTAACATTTACCCTATTGAAACTGAAATTATTCTCGTCTGCCTCTGTATCCTCTACTAGAGGTAAGTGCCAAGAGTAGGAACCACATTTTAGTTGTTTCTGTACCCCCTGAACTCGGCAGCACAGAGCATACAGTAGCGGCCACCGTTGGACTGAACTACCCCTGCTTCCCCTTGGGCTGCTGACTAGACCAGTCTACTCATCCATGTGGGTAGCACAAATGATTGAGGCTCCTCCCTTCCCCCCCTGCCAGTAACAAAGCAGGACGCAGAATGACTCTGGCCACATGGAACCCTATTCTCCCCGATAGCCCCCACTCAGATCCTGTGCTGAGATGTCCATAACTACAGTTCTTCTAGGCAACAGAAGGTTTTTTTAAGTCCTGGATGTTAATCAAAGGCCTGTCATTGGCATCCATGCCCATTTTTCACACTCACAGGGTCTAGGTTAAAATATACTATAGTAAATATTTATATATATATAGATACACATACATACACATATATATATATCTGTTGAGGTAACAGCTTAACCATTTTCCAGCTTTCTCCGTCTCTTACTTATTGTAGGAACTCTTAGAAAGCCTGAAGAGGACTTTATGCTGACTGTAAGGACAGGAGGGTAGGAGCATGGCTGAGTAGTCTGTTCCAGGAGCACAGAGAGAAGCCCTGATTGGAGGCAATAAATAGGTGGCAGTGGAAAGGGGACAGGTAAGCCATTTCTGGGACTGGAGACAGAAAAAAACAGAGAGACAGAATGGCTGTGGAAAGCCCCTATCCCAAGCGGGTAGTCCTCCTTCCCCATTCCTAATCTCACCAGAATCCTGGACTCAGACCAGGGAGCATAGAGACCCAGTTTCCCTGGGCTGCCACAAAGAGAAGTGGGTGGTGGTGTCGTCCACTGGTGAGGAGGACAGGATTAGAGACAGATGGACTTGGATTCTGTTTTGGTTCTTCTCACTAGCTGCATCACCACTGGGCAAGTTGCCTGAAAGGGAATAACAGTGCCTACTTCATGGAGGAGACAAAAGCATCAAATGACATAAAGCAAGTGAAGCATTCAGCATAGCACCTGGCACATCATTAGTACTCAATAACCTTGATTAGCTGTGATCATCCTTACCAGGAAGGGAGAAAAAGCGCGGGAACTGCTCCTGTTCACAAGACCCAAATGAGCAGTGCTCCTGTCTGCCCGGTTGACTGAGTCTGTCCTCTTGAGCCCGTGAGCCACAAATATTGAGCCCACATGCCACAACTACTGAAGCCCGTGCACCTAGAGCCCGAGCTCCAAAACAAGAGAAGCCACCGTTTGGGGCTTCCTTGGTGGTGCAGTGGTTAAGAATCCGCCTGCCAATGCAGGGGACACGGGTTCGAGCCCTGGTCCAGGAAGATCCCACATGTCGCGGAGCAACTAAGCCCCTGCGCCACAACTACTGAGCCTGTGCTCTAGAGCCCGGGAAGCCACTGCAGTGAGAAGCCCGCGCACCGCAACAGAGTAGCCCCCGCTGCCGCACCTAGCAGCAACAAAGACCCAACACAGCCAAAAATAAATAAAATTAAATTAAAAAAAAAGAAAAAGAGAAGCCACCGCAATGAGAAGCCCGCGCACCACAACGAAGAGTAGCCCCAGCTCGCCACAACTAGAGAAAGCCCGCGTGCAGCAACGAAGACCCAACGCAGCCAAAAGTCAACAAATAAAAATTAATTAATTAATTTAAAAAAAAGAGAAACCACTCTCTTTCATAAACAAAACCAACCATTCATCTCTGTGCTGGATACAGGGCCTAGTCTTGATTTCAGGATTATCTGTCAGATGATAATCCTACATGATCTCTAGGATTCCTTCAGCTCCTGAAGTCCTGATTTCATGTTGTAATGATGTCTCTGCCAACTGAACCCTGCCCCATAACTGAGTACCCATCCACCCACCTTTATTCTGTTAAGACCTTGATTTCAGCGAGGTCACAGGACCTGCCAGTCTTGCAGAGTCCACTTGGACGTGGCTGGACAACATCTGTTAGCAAAGCAATATATTTATCACATGGTCCTTAGTTCAGCACTCTGCCTTCGAGGCCCCCATATGAGGCTTACATCTGTTAGAACATGGCATAGAGAAGAGGTACTTCCCCTTGAACATTCTGAAACCTGCATGTAATTTACTAGTTATTACATAGAAGTAGCTGTTGCTAGCTGGCTATGAAGAGATCAGATATCACTTTGGGTTGTTTCTACAATTTCAACCAAAAATGATCTGTCCGAAGATTTATTACCAAGGACACTTGGCTAAAGTTCATCAATGGCTTCCTTCTTTTTCTTATACAACTCCAAGATCCAAAAAAGGATTTAAGTGGCTTACAAAAACATAAACAATACTATACTATTAAAATAGATTAAGAAATTACAGTAGGAGGAATAAAAGAACAAAAGGAGGGTTAGGACACAGAAATGCATACTATTAAATTGCTTAATATTTACTGAATTTCAACTGCAAATTTGGCTTTGAGCTCCCCAGTAACCAAGGCAGGAAAGAAAATACCAGCAGTTATAAGGTTTATATTTCCTATGAAATAAAAGCATCTTGGTTGTTCATGATACAGATTTTCTGAGAGACATTTATTTCTCCTGTGGGTGGTCACAGGAGACAATGAGCAACCCAGTGGACAGACCCCCAGCGCACATCAGCCCTTCCCACCATGTAACCCTCTTGCAAGACTTTCTTAGAGGCCCCTCCATGAAAACGGACAGCGTAATGAACACCAAAGGGCAATTCAGTAAAAGGGATTCTACATGGGGTCAAATCAGGGCAGCCCAAGGACGTGGCAGCCCAAGGACCCAGATCCTGATGGTCTGGCTGGATCCAGTGATATCAGCTCTCCAGAGGAATGGAAGAGCTACAGAGCCTTCTGGCAATGCTCCATGAATATCATTTATCACAACCAGGCTTTTGAGTAACAAAAATATGGGCAGCCTCCAACATGCCAAGTCCAAACACTAATACTTTTGAATGCTAACACTATTTGGCTCTGGTGCTGCCTTCGGCTCTCTCATGGGCTGTTTTTTCTCTGAAACTCTCCCTTATGGGCCTCATCTTGTCCCTCTGGGTTCTTCTGTGTCTCTGACTGAGCCTCAATCTCCCTGGCTGCTCTTCCACCATATGCCTAGGTGCTTCCCGCCCCCAGCTTTCTCACCCATACCCAAGTCTTCTAAACACCTCTGTCCCCTGCTCCTGAACCCTGGATTCCTTTCTAAAGGGGGCCTCTTTCTGGCTCCTGGGAAGGCACTTCAAACTCCCAAAGCCAGCACCATCTTTTCCCTTCCCCCTGATCCTATCCCCTTCACCCCACTTCTGTTCCTTCCTCCTGAAGGCCCAGCTGCCCAAGCAGGAAACACCGTTTATTCTCTCTCTCTTCTATGTCACACTCCATCTGTCCCCTAGACAGTTGGTTGTGCCTCTCAATCCACCGTCCCGTTGCCATCCCCAGTCACAGCCAGCACATTGTGTGAGCACCGTCCTCTCTCATCCTGAACCTCCTAAACTGGTATCCCTGACTCAGCTCTTACCTCTCCAGTCCATTCTAGAATTCTATTTATACAGCACAATCTGATCACATCTCTCTCATGTTTCAAAGCCTCCAGTGGTTTCCTAGCAGCCTACAGGACAAGGTCCAACCCCTTAGGTGGCACCGAGAACCTGGGCCCAATTCTCCTTATCTTCTCATCACCTTCCCACCCCACTCCAAACCTGCTTCCCCAGCTGACCAAGCTCGTTCACTACCTTTTCTCAAGTTATTTCAGCCTCCTGCAAAGCCTTAACCTGTCTTCTCTGCCCAGTAAATGCCTGCTCATCCCTTAATATCCAGCTCAAATAAGACCCTAAGCAGAGCTGGGGACCCCCTTCTTCCAGCATGCAAAAAACTATTCTCTGGAATGGCACTTTAACATACCATCGTTGTGTGTCTCCCAGACTGGAAAATTCCTG